GTAGCGTTCGACAACTGCGCAGCTTCTTTTGTAGATGCGCTCGGCGAAGTTGCTTATCGCCACATGAGTCGGACCGGAGCAAAGGACTTTGCCTAATCGCGCAGCCATAGCAAGCACTGCACTAGCCATCATGGTCGTCTTTCCGGTACCCGGGGCAGCCGCTATGATTCCAAAGCCAAGAAGACGGCGTTGAAGATAATTGGCCCAGCGAGCTCGGTCCTCTGGGAGTGCTTCCTCAACAATTGCTTTGACAAGTGCTGGATTTCCGAGGTCCAGAAAGTTCACCACCGGCAAGCTGCGAGGAACATTTACGCCGCTTCCCTTCATCTGCCACTCCCAAAAACCGGCACCTCTGACAAAAACGCGGTGGAGGTGCATCCGGTCCATGATGGTCACCTGATTTTGCAGCTGCACTGCCGTGGGTGGTCGTTGACCTGTCACTGGCAAGTTCCATCCGGCGATATTTGCTGGATTTGATGTGCTTAGAAACAGGTCTGTGGACGTGATCTTCCGCTGGACTTCATGGACCTCGGGGTTGATGAAGATGGTAGCCCAGTAGCCTTTGCCATCACGCTTTGCCCGGTTTGCCGCTGAGCGGTTCTCAAACGCCTGTCGTCTAGTCGGCTTTTTACCCGGCCGCTTCGAAGGTTCAATCAGCATGACCAAGTCCTTCCGGGCGTCGGGTTCATGGCATTCGACAAAGCGCGGGATGCTTTCCGGATCCTCAATGATAGTGCCATCCCATTCTTCGCAAGGAGCACTATCACTGCCTGCCTCTGAGTCATACAAACTCACTTCCACGCGGCTAAAGCTTGCTAGTCGACGCCAGGCATCACCGTAAGCTGCCCAGAAGTCTTCCGGCAACGAAAAAACGACGTAGTACTTCACTTTTCCATCTAGATTGACACAAGATGCAAAGTACAAAGGTCGTCTCATTTTCTTGATGTCGTGGGCGGCTTCGTAGATCCACAGCACATCCTGGACCACAGTATGATTTACGGCGATGTTGTGGTCGTCATCGCTATCGAGTACAAATCTTGGCGCAAATTGATGGCCTCTGTGCATTTTGACAGGCCCGCGGTAGTCCACAAACTTGGCGCCGACAGTCTGATATGGAAATTTGAACGGCTCAGGTAACGGCTGCAAAAATTTCTTGTTGACTTCATTGACCGAGAGATCCATGAAGAAGGAAATTTTCTTCTGCTTGATGATGTCAACTAGAGAAAATCCCGCCATCGGCTGGTTGCCACGTAGCCAGCCTTCCAGTTGTGGATGCTCACGATCGCTGAAAGGCAGACCAAAGCCCTCGACTGTTGGCTCAGAATTCTCGGGCACTGTAACATGAATTACAGAGGCTTCGTCATGAAAGGCTCCGCTGAAGATTTCCGAGTACTTTGGCAGGGCTTGTCTGGCGTCTTCGACTACGATGGTGACATTGCGAGGAAGTTTGATCTTAATCACATGCTTGGTTGCCAGTTCTGCGTCAATGAGCCCTCGACGACCTTGAATTATGTTAGTCATGGACATGAAATTGTGTTGGTTTTGATCTCTCACTATTGTATCGGACACCGAAGCCAAGCGTCTCATTCGACGCCTGATTCTTGGCCAGGTCGACTTCAATTGTGTACCCCAGGAGAGGATCACAATCTTGTGCCGTTATCAATTTGAACTTGGAAGAGATGAGGCTAACTCGATCGAGGGCTTGCGCCACAATGACGGGTGTCAAAGGTTCTCCGAGAAGAATGGCGCAGTCCTTGCTATGCACCTTCTGTGCCTTCTTAGACATGACAGGCTTGTTATACTGGCGTTTTGCCGGTCTGGAGGGCAGAAGAGAAAATCGGCCGCCTCTTGCGACGACGATACAAAAGCCAACCGAGTCCGAGGCTCCCGGTGGCAGTACTGACGTGCTTGAAGAAAAGGACTGTCTGAAGAGTCAGAAAGACTAACGCGGGCACAATGAAGATGAAGATGCAGAAAGGGAAAGGAAGGTAAGGGGGGAACAAGCAGAAGCGATTGGCAATGGTTGAAAATTTTGACTTGATTTGCAAACGAGCATAAAGTGAGTGGCAATGTGACAGTCTGCAAACGGAGCAGACCTGGATCGTCTGGCTAGGTAAGTAATGTGCAATCTCGTCAAACATGGGCCCTCTATTAGTTCATTCTGACTGTTTGGAGCAGTGCGTTTCTTGACTGCTTCGGTGTTGTCATGGGAGACAGAACCGTTATTCTTCCAGCCATCTGGTTGTGAAGGCAGAGAAAAGTTGTTTCAACGATACATTGATCTACTATGTTCTTTATATCCCTCAATTCGTCCGCGTCTGATATTGATCCGGCATGGTCCTCGTGGCCATGTTGCCTTAGCATCAGCAAAGACGTTGCGAGATGGGCCTTCGCCTCCAAAGCCTTTGAACTGGTACACACTTCACAAGCCGCCGCGCGTTGTTGTAGAAGGATCTTCTATCATTTCCTATCAGCTGTCTCAGACAGCTTCGAGATCACTAAGCTCGAGTTTCGCAGACGTCAAGACTAGTTTTGAATGCATGTTTTACCTCTCGTTGGTGGGAAACACACTCGAAGAAGACGTCCGGCGGGTGTGACTATTTGTGCCGAGGGTATTGTTACGGCGCAGTATAACGTAATCCACCATGCTAGGATCCTCCTTCACCGAATAAAAGTACTCGGAGGATATGCGTCTGTCGGTCGACCTGCCAGACCGTCGACAGCTGGCACCACTTGAAAGGACCGACAAACTCGCCAACCAAATAAATCTCTATTTAATCATCTCTTAATACAGACTACACGTGAGATTATCGTAAAAAAAATTTAGAATCATATATAGATCTAGTATTTACTCCTCTTTATATAGAGTCTATAAGTTAAGAAACTATATAAATACAGCTATAATAGCCTAAATATAATTATAAAATATAAGTAATATTCTTAAGTAAAATATAATTAAAATATAAGTTTAATTACTATACTAATATTATAAATAATAAAATTATAACTTAGGTTAGTTAGAAATTCTAAGAAATATCAGTAATATTCCTCTTAGAATAGTATTATCTAAGTTATTATAAAACTAAATAAGAGAAAAGTAAATCTATCTAGTTTATTATATATAATTAAGTTTTCTAATAATAGATATTATATAAGTATCTATAATATTATAGTCTAAAAATTAATAAAATTTAAATATCTCTATATAAGAGGTAAAGAAAAAAGCAATAAAAAATCTAGATAAAGCAAAAAGATATTTGACACCTGTGGGATTCGAACCCACGCCCTTTCGGACCGCGAAGTCAAGGGAATTAATTAATTTCCTGAACACGGCGCCTTAACCACTCGGCCAAAGTGCCTATTGCTGTGAAAGAATGCGTATTTATTTAAGTATATATTGCTTCAGCTAGAGATATTACCTAGCAAGCGAGATGAGGAATCCCGGCCATAGATTATTAACATAAGTTTTACTAGGTCTATTTTTGCATTGTCGTCGTATACTAGTGTAAAAAAATTCTACCACTAATCTCAGCCACGTTACATAGCGCTATACCACCATCGAATATTTATCAATAACACAGCTAAAGACGTAAAAATTAATGTTAAGATACTCTTATTAAAATCTCAAGCCAAAGATTTCGAAGTAAATCAGTTATAGCAGTGCTTAGCCACCTAGTCGCCTCTCCTCGCAATTTTTTCATCGTATCTAGAGTTGATTGATCAATTGATTTATATTCCCTAAATTCTCTATACTTATCAGGCCGGGGGAAAAGTAAAGAGGAATGACTATTATATACTCCTCTGCTGTGCTGTATTGCTATTCCTAGTATATTGCAGTGCTGATTACTACTATGCTTGATCTGCTAAACTATCCCCTCATATATTTTCTATAAGGCCTCTGCGATTAGTTTTCTTGTCTATGTCGTTTATCCTACTCTGTGGCATCGCCTAGCACGGGTTGCAGGTACGCCATGCGATCTCTACACATGCTAACGGCTCCCTGCCTGGGTGACGTCACCATGACACTGCAACTCAAAATTTCAAGTGACGACACCATCCATCTCATCGTGACTATTAAATTGGTGACGTCCGCGTCCAACAGTCTCCAGCAGTCGCGTGACCAGCTGTCCGCCATCAATATTGGACGAGTTATCGAGAAAATGGGCACTGAACACGCGAAACCGAGAGGCGACATGCAAGATCTTCGCGATTCTGCAGTCAAGCCACACAAGACGTTACGAGAACGCTTTTTACACCGTCTGCCACATTATACAGGTCCTTACAGCGTAGGCTATATGGATATCGAAGTACCTGCGCGGAATCCGCGACCCATATCTAGCTTGAAAAGAAATGGAAAGCCAGTTTTGCGCATGGACACGGTGCTCATGGGTATCTACTACCCGGGTGACTTGCGAAAGGAGGCCAAGAGCAAAGATGGCCTCAAGGGCCTGCACCGTGTAGACTGGATGCCACGTCCCAGACTAGCAACTGCCAAAGGATACGCCAAATTCCTAAATATACCTGAGCTACCCGTCACTGGCTACCTAGCCTGTACAACCCTCTTCACCAAACTGCCAGCCTTTTGCAATGCCAAGTTGGCATCCTTTTGGCCCGATACGTTTCCTCGAAAGGGCGGTCCCGAGGGCGAGCGAATAAGACAAGCGCAGGGCGACAACATGCGGCCCAAGTTTCCCGTCATCATCTTCAGCCACGGCTTGGGCGGATCTCGACTATGCTACAGCGCCATCTGTGGAGAGCTTGCAAGCTTTGGGTTCATTGTAGTCGCGATGGAACACCGAGATGGCAGTGGTGCGAGAACACATGTCAGTCTGCCGGAAGACATTGACCCTGCGGAGATTGAGTCCTCGACAGCCAAAATCTACACTAATGATGATTCGGGCAAGGACGCCGGCGGCAAAAAGGTGCGTGGTCGTGGCAAAAAAGGTGTCAATCCATACTACGTCGTTGACTACATCCTACCCAAAGATAATGCTCAGGATACGTCGCCGCATAATCCACAAGGCGTGGATCGGGTTTTGAGGTCTGCACAAATTGAGCTTCGCCAAGAAGAGATCAAGGAAGCATATCATGTCATCGGCCTCATCAATGACGGCAAGGGAGAAGAGGTTGCGAGGTTGAATCTGCGCAAAAAGGGAAACATTGGATCCAGCTCAATGGGCCTCATCGGGATTCAGTGGGAGGACTGGAAGGGCAGCATGTTTCTCAACACAGTCTCAGTGATGGGGCATTCTTTTGGCGGAGCCACGACAGTACAACTCTGCCGGGACGACTCGCTTACATGGATCGCCTCGGGGCTGATCCTGGACGCCTGGGGTCAGGCCACGCCTCCCGGTGGCGACAAGCCGTCAAACAGTGTCAACAAGCCCATCATTGCAATCTCGTCCGAGGCTTTCATGCACTGGAAAGAGAATTATGACCGTGTCGTCTCGTTCTGCAATGAGGCGCGAGATTCGGGTGCTCTGTGTTGGATGCTCACGATTGCAGGATCAACTCACCTGGCAATGACAGACTTTGCCGTCCTGTATCCCGTTTGGATGAGTCTCATCATGAAGTCCCTCGTGAGCCCCAGCCGCGCATTCTACCTCACCATTGTCGCCTCGCTCGAGTTTCTGGAGGCGACACTGCCACCTGAGCAAACAAAATTTCGTACGTGGAGCACTGAGCGACTTCTCTGCACACGAGAACCTGTTAGCGACCCCGACGAAGCCCTCAAGACGGACCATGCGCCCGACGACAAGTGGGTAGCGGTGCGGCTAAAGATCCCCAATGAGTTCTCGACGAGAATGAAGAGCATCTGGCATAGCGTTCGCAGAACAATCATGAGCTTGATTCGAGACGATCCGTCAGATACAGAAATGGCCGGCAGCAGCTATTCTGTGAGCCAGGAAATTTGGATGCATTTTAGCCCTGCAGAGTCTGACGTCCAGGCGCACCGCGGACGATTCCTCAAAGCATGAGCAGAGTCCACATCCCACCATTGCCTTGTCCTTTTATTCACTGCAACGGAGGATTTCATTTGTACAAGTACATCATTCACAAGTCTTGCGTTTCCCTCTTTTTCCTTTTACGGCATTTGCTTTTCGATATTCGTTGTTCTCCATACCCCTGTTTCTGTTTGAAGATGCACGCATAGCGCAGGTGTCGAGCATCTGTACAATTAGAGCATGGCGTAGGTTTGTACAAATTTTACTGAATAGACATAGAATTCATTCTGCAGTTTCAAATTTCGGAGGAGGCAACACGGAGCGAGTTACGGGTGGCTGGTGCGTAAAAATTGTATGCGGGCGTGGGGCTGGGGAACTGCGTGGCCGTGCAGTGGGCGGGATCGCCCGCAGTTGTCTTGCACTTACTCCGGCCACCTTGCAACGCCATTGTTACATAACAAACGTGGAGACAATTACTCCATATATGTGATGAGAGCACTGAGCTCCGTTCTTTAATTTTATGATGCTGTCGTGACTCAAGTGAATGTCATTGCTCCGCGTATGAGGATCGTGGCGCGGCTTGCCTCATGTTCGCCTGAAACTACTGGGTTGCATCGGCCGAGTGCTTGAAGACGACCGTGAGACGCGATATAGAGACAAAATGGCAAACTAGAGAATGTTCAACCTGTGCAAATCCTTTGCGTTAACGTTATATAGTTTGTACGACCTGAAGAGGTTACTGAGCTGAATTTGGAAAAGAACTAATGTCAAGAATACGAGCTGTTGTGTGGATCAAGGTTGTATCATCGTATCGTATCCGTAAGGCGAGACCATTCCGCCGTTCTTTTAAATGATCGGCCCAGCCTTGTCAGGCTCTAACCAGTGTCAGGTAGGTTGCCGTCCCTGTCTCAGTCTAAAAGAATACCGTTACACATCGGAAAAGAATTTAGTTGAGATGGAGCGGAGGCACATGAAGAATGTTCAACACAAAATCCCCCACGCGCAGTTTGTAGATGACAAACCCAAATTTTGTATATTTTCCGGCCTGTACGACATCAATGACGATGGAAGCTGACCGGGGCTTTTATTGTTCCCTTGTAGGGCGGAGCAGCCGGATGTACCAGCAAGCTTGCTTGTCTCGCGTCATGCATCTCGCTAGAAAACCTGTTACCGGGATCCATAGGTAGTTAGCCTGAAGCAAAGAGAGAGCCAAGAACCTAATCATCAACAGGCCACCAGACATTCCTAGCCCCATTGTGTGGCTATTTTTACGGCGGCAGGCTGGGGGCCGCTGTCGTGACAGATCGGGCCACCCGCCGTGCTCTATTGGCGGGCACAGGCCTGCACTTCGTATTCTTTGAATCTTGGCTGCAGGTGCTGCGTGCTGCGAGTGCAGTGGGCGCTGAATGACACGAGGTGGGCAGTTGGCAGCGCTGATCCCTGCGTTTTGGATGCGCAAAAAGAAGCAAGTCATTAGATTTTTTTTCGTTTTGGCGGCGCAGCCGTCTTGTCGTCAGAGCCGAAATCTGCCGGTTTGTAGTGATGCCATCATCGACGTTGCAGGTGGAGGACATAGGCAATGCGTTTATGGGTTCCTCGAAATACTGAGTTTGCGTGCAAAGCGGTTTGCTTGCCAGCTGCCAACCGTTTTGCCAGCTGCGAGCTCCTTGTACATGTGCAGTGCATGCCTGAGGTGCCTACAAACAAATCCCTTGTGCTTCAAAAACTTTTTTGCAATCAGCAACTTTCCTTCTCTTCATCATCGTCACCCTTTAAGACATGGCCCAGCGTTCTTGCACCAAGCCAAGCTCCGACACACCCACTCGAACCACTGTAGCCCTATCGCAACGCCCGTCCAGGCCTTTCTCAGCTCCCTCAGCGTCTCGCATAACGCCAGCAAAGAAAAAACCCCTCCCCCCCTCCGCCATCAGCTAGCTCCACAGCCAACCACATTGCAAGTTCCCAAGCCTCCTCGTATTTTGTTTTGCAGGTACACTGCGCTACCACTAGATGGCCATCCAGCCTGGGACCTGCACTGTCCGCTCACACCCACACCGTTTTTGTCGAAAGCCTTTTCCATTCTCGTTTCTCTACGGCGTAGCTTCCAAAGCTAGCTATATACCCCTCGACCCCTGCCTTTCTTTTTTCCTGCTATTTTTGCTCAGCAGCTGTTGTGTTACCCCAGAGCTCTGCGATATCTCCATTTCGGCCCATCAGTCCAAGCAGGTTCTTTCCTCTCGTGTGGGCTTACACTTACACGCGTTGTTACACCACTGCGCAGTAACACGAGGCTATCTGCGTCCACTCTGGCTCTTGATCATTTCGGCACATTTATTATCCACGCCTTGCCGCTTTGTTAGTGCAATTTCGCTTTCCCGCATACGACCTGCAGTGTTTCCCCTTGACCGTTCTTTGTCGTGTCATTGCCGCTGTGCGCTGCGGTGTGCGACCTGACTAGTCCACTGCTCTTGCTCGTTCACGTTGCACCGCGCCCGCCTCGAAGCGTGGAACTTTTTTCCCTTGCTCTTGGAAGTGTTTATAATCATACTTGCGCATCATGGCCGAGACTCTATCTCGTCAGACTCGCTCAAACAGCTTGCAGCGCATGCTGGATCTTGAGAAGCAATACATGGTGAGTGCCACTTCCTCTTCCCAGCATCATCAATGCTCGCTCGCTAAAACGCCTGCGTCACAGAGCCAGAGACTGCGCACCGGCTCGAACCAGTCTAAAAACCCGGGAGTCACATTCAACAGTCTTCCATCATCGTCAGGGCAGCGGCCTGCAACAAAGGGTCGCCAAATCGAAACCCAAACGGTGCAAGAGCGCCGCCAAAGCGAGCAACGCCAAAGAAGCTTCCCGCTCCAGACTCACGCACCAAAGCCCCAGCTGGTGATAGATGTCAATACCGCTTCGTCTAAGCCATCGGCCTCTGCTATTCGCCAGCCCGCCATCAACATGAAGATTCGTCGAAGCAGCAGAAATATTGCCGACACTCCGCCTTCTGTACCATACAGCTCTACCGTTCAGGCTTCTCCAAACCCGGTGTCCGGAACTGACAGTTCCGTCTGCCAGTCTCCTAGCTGGGAGGCTTATGATAAACGAAAGCAAGAGAAGAAGGAGGAGAGGAGAGCTAGGGACGAAGCAAAAGCTACGAGAAAACCTCGCCGCCTGAGTAAACCTCCTCCAGATCCATCGCCATGTGCACTTGCTCAAGCCAAGCCGAACCAATCTGAACCTGTGATTGCAGGCAATGGCAGAAAGCCTCGGCCTTCTAGCATGATCTTTTCTGACAATACTTCCAAGGAGGCGACATTCTACAAGCAGCCTCGCTCCCGTGCCGGGTCATTTTCGACCCTCATCAGATCAACTTTTGACTTCCGGCGTTCTTCGGTTGATCAGTCTCAGGAGCGTCCATTCATTGGGGGTATCAAACTTGAATATGAGCAACATCTTGCCAGCGAAAGAGACCCGAATCTGCAGAGTGCAATCGATCTCCCGAATGTCCATCCTGCGTTGCGCACAAGCAACACATCTCTCAAGTCTCCACCCCCGCCGCCCCGCGCGACAGATTCGAAGAGTACCAGTTCTCGGGCTTATCCTCCTAATACTTTTGCAACTGCAAAGGCAAAGTCGATGTCGTTGGTATCTCCAACCGCCCCACCAGTGCCAGACCTCAGTACCATTGAGAAATGGCGCGCACGTGTTCGCCTAAGGTCATCAAGCAAATCTTCATCGTCTAGAAGCCCCGTCGCGAAAGACACCGAGCCGGCCTCAAACACTCACGATGATTCAAACAAATCAGATGCTAGCTCCGAAGAAGCAGCTAGACGCGATGGCGATACTGAGCACGCAAAGGAAAAGACCCCACCTCCAGAGCCTCCTCGTCGAAGTTCAAAGCGCGAGTCGATGACGAGCGGCAGTCCGTCAATGCCTGTCCTCAGCGCTCCTCTCATGCATGTGCCACTAGAGACTGATTCTTCTTCCTTCTACGATTTGTCTTTTACAGCTGCCAAAGACGATAACAAGCAGCCAAGTGCAAGCCTTTCCTGGGAGAATCTTCAATCGTCAGTTATGGACACGATTGAGCATACTGTCAAGCCGAAGGCCGAACTTGAGAAGGAAGAGGGCGAGAAGGCTTTCTGGAACAGCCAAGAGTGGGCTATTCAGCGCTCTGATGTTCCTCAAATCACTTCTAGCTCCTCAGAAGATTCTGCATCCGATTGCTTCAATACTGTTTCGATGCCAAGCACGCCCAATACATCGAGACCCCAGTCAGAGAAGGGTATCCCGCGAAATTCAGGGGAGTCGGAACGATTCACTTTACCTAGGATTCAATTACACGACAACGCCTACCCCAGCGAGGCCTGTTCCTTTGTTTCCTCGAGCTCGATTCATGGCGCCTACGACGTCGATGGCGAGGTTGATCCTATCCAGGCTGCGGCTCGAAAGGTCATGGCTGCTTTACCTCCAATGCCATCGGCAAGACCGGCCACTGAGCATGAAGCTTTGCGGTTGCGGTCCAATGATATCGACACTTCGAGCATTTCGGATCTCTCATTAATTGAAGTTCCTAAACTGTCTCCGAGGAACCCTAAAGCACAGCCCGCCAAGCGTGCTAATGGCGATACAGTTGCCAAAGTTTTCGTTGAATGCTGCGGATGCAAGTATTATCACGATATGCCCAGCAAACTGTATGACGCAATGGTGAATCCCAATGTTGTCTTGAGCCCCAAAGACAGATTGGACTTCGCTGGTGCTATCTCGATGACGGTCAAATGCCCATGGTGTAAACACGCGATGAGCACAAGCTGCTGCGCCGGATTGGCCGCAATGGTCTACGTCAAGGAACGACTTCACTGATCCATCGACTAATACACAACCACAAAAAACCGCACATATTACGACTTTCCAGATGAGTTTCCTTTGTCATTGAGACTACAGCCTTCCGGCTATTTCATTTGTATCTGTCCGAGCTCTGTCGCGAGAAGCACGTGCATGACGAGCGCACACATCAAGAGTGGTGTGACAAAGAACTCCCAATGCAACGTCAATAACAAACGCACATCTCACAACATCCTTAGGCCAGGGAAGAAGCAGAGGCCAACAACTTCCCTTCCGAAGCGTACTTCGACGACGACGATGACGATGCTATTGAGCTATCGCTCGTCGCTGATAACTTCTTTTCTGAAGCATGCTTCGACGACGACGATGATGATGCTATTGAGCTATCGTTCGTCGCTGACGGAAGTTGACAACTTCCCTCCCGAAGCGTACTTTGTGGGGAAGCTCACACCAAGGCACATTGACACAATTTTCACAAATTAGCGAGTCAAATTATTGAGGCCATAGTTTCCAGTGTTCATTTAGATTAATAATGAATTGACGACATTTCACATCATTTTGCCGTGTGTGCTTTGATACTCCTCGCGTGTGCCAAGCCACTATTGCCCCTCCATCAGCCACTCCCTTTTCCCACTAGCCACGCGGGGCATGACGACAACCAGCAAAGCAACTGTTGAAGCCGTGGCTGTAGCAGGCTGTGTGGGCCACAGCAACCAGTAAGGTGCTGTGTTTCCAACCACCAATCATAAACCGAGGAAGGGAAAAGGTACCCACTTTAGCCCCTATTTCCCACACAAAACCAGGTACCTTTCCCCTAAGACGGTTTCTTCTAGGTAAACACACAACAATAGAATTACATTACCTAAAAAACCTTATACCTACTAGTTTCTTATTATCTATACCTCTAAGTAGCTAACTTACTAATTATAAGCCTAGAGACTAATTACTAAGAGTTATAAGCCTAGTATAGTTTAAAAGGAACTAAGCTTTAATTCTAATGTCTTTTTTTAATAAGTAATTAATTTAAAATTTTAAAGATTAATTTATTAAAATTAATTATATCTTCTATTACTTAAAAGCTTAGAGGTCTAAAGACCTAGGATGCTTAGTTCTTAGCTTTTAAAAATTAAACTAAGAGCCTATATACCTAAGACTATATAAACCTTAATACCCTTAACTACCCTAATAATACTTTACTTAAACTAAGCTTATTAATTTTTAAAATAGTTAAATAAAAGCTTAAAAAAGTAAGTCTAAAGGAGGTAAAAAAGGTAAGTATATATCTAAAAAGAGTTATAATAGTATTAAACCTAAAAGATAATAATATTAAGAAGGAACTTAAGAAAGAAGAGTATTATTATAATTATATAATTAAAAACTTTAAAATATATATAAAACTAATTAATCTAATATATATCTAGGTTTTAAATAATATTAAACTAGTTATATAGAATTAGGTTAAGTTATAATTTAGAGAGAATATAACCTTAAAATAGAAAATATATATTATAAATAATATACTAGCTCTTTTATAAGAAGACTTTAGAAAGGAGGTATTATATACTTATAATAATATATTAAATATAGTAAAGTTTACTAATATAAAGGCCTCTAAGTAGATTAAGAGGTAGGAAGAGGTATATATACTAGGTATATATTATAAGATTCTTAAAATTAAAAGTATATTAGCTATTAAAAAATTCCTTAAAATAGTAAAAGTTAATTTTAATAAGCTATAAACTATAATATAATAATAAATAATTATTATAAGAAGTTATAAAAATTAAAGACCTCTTTACTCTTTTATAACTTATATATAAATCTTTTAAGATATAGCTATACTTAAAAAACACTTAGCTATATATACCTTTACTATTACTTTACCTAAACTTAATAACTTAGGCTTTAAAGGTAAATTAAATAATAAATATAGTTCTTATAATTACCCCTATAGAAGAATAATAAGGGTAAAAGGTAGCTATAAGTAGAAACTATTTAATTATAAATTTATATACTTAGTAATTAATATATCTATATATAGTATATATAAGTAAAATATTTTTAATATAATAGTAAAGGAAATTCTTAATTACTTAAAAAAGCTAAAGTAAAAGTAATTATATATTTAATTCTCTAATATAAAATACTATTATCTACCTAGGTAAGGAAATAATTAATTAAAAGTATAAGTAAGTATTAACCTACCTAATAAAGATCTTATATATATATTTAAGTAGATAAGAGTTATAGCTAATAATTTCTTATTCTCCTTAGATATATTATAGTATATTAACTAACTTAATATAGTTATAATAGCTATAAGATTATATTATAGGCTTTATAATAGTATAATCTAGGATATTAAAGTTAAATTATATATTATTAATAATAGGAAGTTTTTTAATAAAGGATTTTTTTATATTAAATATAGTACTATAAAAGCTAGAGACTTAGAATATATAATCCTAGAATATAGGACTTATATACTTAAAGGGGATATATAAAGTATATATAGAATATATAATATAGTTCTAAGATATATTATACTAATTAACTATTTCTATATAAATATTATCTTAGTAAATCTAATAAGGACTATTAGTATTTAGATATATAGTTTTAATAATACCCTTTAATATAGTATATATAAAAATAATATTATTATTAAATTAATATATATAAATAAGAACCTCTATTTCTAGGAGTTTAAACTACTTTAATAAGATAAAAATTACCTTAAGTATAAAGATCTAATTAATATAGTAGTAAAAGATAATAATAAACACTTAAAGTATATTTTTACTATACCTTTACCTACTTAAATAAATAAGGAAGTAAAGTAATACCTATACTTAGGGTATCTTAGTAAATAGGCCCTAAAGTATTTTATATATATATATAACGCTAAGATTAAAGGAATAAAAAGAATTAAGTATAAGGTATATGCCTAGGTATATATAAAATAAGTTATATTATAATACCTAAGTAAATACCCCTTGCCTTAACTATTCTAGTATTTAAGCTAGGATCTAATTATAACGATAGCTTAATCCTAATCTATAGTTAGTCTA